ATGTGGCATGGTTTCCGTCGTTGAGCGGCGCTATATCCTGCCCGTAGCCGAACTACAAACCCGGGTTCGAAACTTCCTTGAAATTCGTAAAATGCGCACTACTGATGGTTCACAATAAGGAAGAAACAGTTGTACAGTGCTTATAGGCTTTTCAGCTCAGATTGGCTCCGGTTACAGGAAGAAATCTCAGTCGGAAGTCTCCAAATCTTACGCAAACTATTAATTATAAAGTACCTGGTACTGGTCACCGCGACAGGCGAATTGCGTTTTAGGAGCAGAGGCAGAGGTCGACCCCCCATCACGCATGATGCCAGATGTGCTCGTCATAATCGGGTTGCAAGGGAACTTGCAAAACGTCTTTTTGGGCACCCGTGCAAGGATTGCGCCCCGAGGCGTAGCATGTATGCTCCGAGATTCCCATTATGAGCCACCCAACCGTGGCTTTTTTCAACGTCCAGGTTGTTGCCCGTCTTGGATGTTGTGTTTCGTGTCAGATGCGAGCCGGTTAACTGCGTAGGCCTGTGACGTGGAACGACCAACGGATGCACCTGCTTTCGGTGGGATGTTTTTCCTTCTCCCTAACGCCTTGATTCTGATCAATTCTTCAGGATCACTTTGTGGCAGCTCAAAGATGACACCAGGGGGCTTGTTCTCTGCGTAAGAGTGCCCAGGAAAATCTGGAGACGATCTGTTTTGATGACACCTGATTTCATGCGGAAATATCCCACAAGAAGGGGTAACATTCTGTATAAAACACCATCCTGTTAATGAAAGGGCATTTACTCTCCGCAGTGATCTCACACCAGACCCAGTATGACGGTCACTTTGTGCCTGATGTGCGAGTCTTGACTGTGCTAGCGCACACTGCGCCTTGAAGAGCATTCACCATTGTTTGTCCTTTCTTTGGTTGTTGGTCCTTAGACGCGTGTTCCCATACCAAAATCTTTACATACTTTGGGATTCACCTCATCAGACTGGCACTGTCCTTGGCATGATTTCGAATGAGACGTTTCTCTCTTTTCTCCCATATTCTCCTGTTACTCTTTCGCATTCATCGCTTGCACTCACTTTTTATGTTTGTGACCGTGGTCTTCAAAATAGATGATAATGATGACAAGGGGCGTAGATGTAAGAATCCTATCAAATACAAACAAATAGGACCGCGACGCAGCACAAACTTCAAAGGACGAATCAACCTACATACAGGCGGAAATTCAGCAGCCAATCACAAAGGAGTAATACACTACCCTTTGGAAGCTATACAAGCCTGAACGAAATACCTATCGATGTCCTTCTGTAAAGTGGAGGAACATTTACAAGCCGTGTGTTAGGCCGGGTATATTCATAAACTGGCCGACAGTCAAAAGTTACTGATGTAGGTGGGTTTGCCGGATGGATATGAGCCCCCGAATATTAGTCAGAAAAGTTCGGAGGTCACCCATTTCGGAAGTGTGGATCGTATTCCCATATTCATAGACAAATTTGTTAGCTACGCTGAAAACCGCATTCCCGAGTGAGGAAGACAGTAAGCAAAGCTAACTTGCCGGCGATTCTCCGCAACGAAAATTCCAGATAACCGTGTGGACGAAGTAATGAGGCTTTCCAAAAACTGTTTTGGAATAGTTTCCTGAAGGCATATCCAAGTCAAACAAACTGTGCATTCAAGTCTAGGCAGCTAATCAAAACTGACTGCGATCGATGCGTACTGAATGAAACCTTTGACATCTCACTGGTGTGTTCGAGACGGCCTCGCGAGTAGAATAGCAGTGGGTATCTCAAGTTGTTAATGTGCAATCAGCATTTGAAATTCGCGGATTTATTGGGTCACGTGGCACTGACAAGATGGCCAGTTGGATGATGTGCACGTGACAACTCGAAGTTGAACGGAACAATCAAACACTCACGGACGATGATCGTCAACACAGTTGTGTTCAACTTCTCGCTGTCGCCCACAAGGAGATGATATCGCCCCGTTTGAGATGCGCCGTTGTAATTGGGCTGAGTCTCGGGTGAGGTATTGTTCAAGGGGGCCTGCTGTACTTGATCGTAATCGATCCCAAAGCCCAATTTGACTAGCATGTTGAGAGGTCCGGGTGAAAGGAAGAAGGCCTTCGCTGTGGAGTTATTTATTAGAAACTGCCAAGTGAACAGTTACGGACTATTGGACAGAGAAGCAAAATTTTCATATGTATCTTGTTTACAAAAACTGAATATCCATATTCTCTTTGAACACGTCTTCCTGAACTTTCCTGGATATTCATTGATTGCGCTCGAATCTGAGTAAATGCTATGAAGCGACTTACAAATTCAGCAATAAATCTCACTTTTCAAGAGACTCAGAGCGGATTTACGAGAAAACATACTACTCTCATGCCCACACATAAGTAGTATCACCGTTACACTAGTAGCAACTATCAGCACATTTATCAGTATCATTAAAACCACGTCTTCTCTTTCTATATCGTGTATCTAAACTCAGCTGTAAGGCGCACAATGATGTTGCTTACGACGAATATTTCCCGCGTATATTAACAAAGGAATGACAGTTCTTGAGAAGTTGGTAGGTATTGAGTCTCCATGCATTGTCTCATTCTTTGTTCCACTTTCATTAAGTACACCGCTCTGTTACAATTGTTGCACATTTCTAAGAATGGTGCTGTATAGGTGTTTTCGTGGTAACCTAACACCACTCCTTATTATGTTTCCTTTGCAGATGACCTTTGGTCCATGTTGTTCGACGTCGCTTGTATATTCCTTGCCGAGGTTGCTGTCGACTGGATCAAACACTCGTTTATCACAAAGTTCAATGTAATCCCTTCAATCCATCCCCAAGATTCTCAAGGTGGCCCAACGAGAGTCTGAACGCAGTAACGTCTCAGCCGATTTCTGTTAAATAGCAAGCTTCGCTTTCATGGACCACGTATGCCGTGTTTGTACCCCTGAGTGCTATGCATCAGTTTGATATATTCCCGAAATTAGCTGATTGTTGATCGATCCGATTCATTTAGAGGTGCAATATACTGTTAACCTTGAGTAGTTGATATTCTGACATGACTATTACACACCGATCACCTCTCCAGATGGTGTTTGTTACCCAACAAGCTTTGTTTGTTAACGAAATACACTCATTTGCAAACTAGTCTGGTTTTGCGAGAGACTCACCTGGGACACAACCGAATCCCGCGTTTATGATGTTTCCAGTCAGCTGAATGTGCTGCACCAGGCTGCCTCATGTTTCAGTCGCACCTACTCACAGAAGTTCATATGTTTCCAACGGCAACTTTACGAGTAATGTGTTACATCTATCCCGAATAACCAAATAGTTTGCAAATAAGTGTATATCTCGAAAACAGTCCAATTTGGGTTCAAGTAGAACATAAGGTTGAGGGAAACTCGGGGACGGTACCCACCT